TAACTCTTATGGCATATACGTAGTAGAAGTGACAAACACTTTCAATGAGTTACATATTACAGTTACACATCAGGCAGTCTGCGCTTAAAACCTACTTTATCTCACTGGCCTTTAACTCAGCCTGACGTGTTGCTTTGTACAGTTATTGTGTACTGTTTGTTTTATTTCTGGTTACTGTGTACAGCACTTTGGTCTTTATAAACAAAGCTGGATTGGAACGAGTGGAGAGCAGGAACTGTTGATAGTTCTTCCCCCTCTCCAGAGTCTCCGTTACAGAGCTGCTGGTGGAGGTTGAAGCTAACTAACTGCACAGCAGCTTCTAGGATTACAGGCTGAAGCCAGATTTCCATCATGATCATCACAATCATGTACAAAGCTGTCTGAAGCCAAGTGCAAATCCAGATCATTTATCCTATAGATCCAACACTGGCTCTCAAAATGTGTGAGAGTTTATTACTGTGTCCCTGACCGTTGGAGGACCCTGGTGTTCTGGATACACCTGCTGGTTTCTTCAGTGACTGTTAAAAACAGATTTAAACAGAGGAGCTGCTGTGTAATCCAGCATAGATTAGCTGTACACAGGACATGCCAGAAACGTGACTAAATGATAATCTGAGGAAGCAGCAGACAGGAGAGCTGAGAGCTGCTGCAGGTCATGTGGATCAGGATGAGATGCTAAACAAGCTGAGAAACAGGTTTGGCAACATGTTAGGGAATTTTAAGCCTTTTTACTTGAAGCAAAACATTTATAGCCTCGGGCTAAAATAACACATCATCATTTGTTTATTGCTTAATTTAATACCAGATATTCCACAAAACTATCCGTTTTCAAAATTCCAACCTTCTGGCTGTTGGAAACAATAAAAATAAATAAATCTACTGATTTAGACACACAAAATTATTTTTTGTTTTTGGATCAAGCTGAAGAAAAATGATTGAATCATAAGGAAACACTGCACCGTTAAAACACTGCACCGTTAAAACACTGCACCGTTAAAACACTGCACCGTGAAGTCTTTTAACGGTGCAGTCTTTTAACGGTGCAGTCTTTTAACGGTGCAGTCTTTTAACGGTGTATGGAGTACCTCAAGGCTCCATATTAGGGCCAATTTTATTTTCATTGTACTTGCTCCYCCTGGGATCTATTTTTCACAAATATAACGTGTCATACCATTTTTATGCTGATGACATTCAGGTCTATCTTCCATTAAGATCTAGTGGATCCCAGTCTGTAAATAGGTTACTTGAATACTTAAAAGATGTGAGAGCATGGCTGGACCTGAACTTTCTTTATCTTAATGATAAAAAGACAGAGGTCATTTTATTCGGCAACTCTGATAAACTGACAGGATGCAGTGTTGGACCACTGGACCCTGTGTCTGGCCGTGTGCACCGTTAAAACACTGCACCTTTAAAAAGATGTCTTTTTCACGGTATAGTCTTTTAACAGTGCAGTGTTTTTAACGGTGCAGTGTTTTTAACGGTGCAGTCTTAACGGTGCAGTCTTAACGGTGCAGTCTT